AAGAGGGAAGCTTATAGAGACTTATTCATTCTATCAAGAGACTGAGGTTTCTCAGATGATCCACAAAGTACAAAATATGAACATCTGAATTAGCCAGCCGTTCAGAAATATTGATTTTAAATTGGCTTAGATAGGCTTCAACCTGAAATATATTAACTGTAACCTGTCTACAATAGGCTAATAATATCCTGAAATCTCTAAGTTCTTTTTCTGTTTTTGTGTGTGTGCCAAGGAATATACTGAATGCCCTCATCGTTTTCTGTCCCTCCTCTGCTAACCTGTGGCCAAAATCACAAACCATTCAATGAACACAGAAGGTAAATGATATTTCATTGTTAATGAGTTAGACCATGCATGTTTGTTATCTATAGGTATTCTGTTACCACTAAAGATGTTGTGATTTTGGTGTTAGGTCTCTTGCTTTTAAGATCATTAAGTACTGTAAACAACGTATAAGTAAAAGCATTAACTACAAGGTGCTGAGAAACATTTCTAGCACACAGAGAAAACAACTGATTCAAGTTAGAAAAAAACCTCTCTGGCATGAAGCAGTGACTACTGCTTGTGCAATTTTATGAAGTGTTTTACTATCTGTCCCTTTTGCAGTCACAGGAAGATAGCAGACTTTCTAATGCATCTTAACAGCAATACCATTTTAATGAATGTATTAAACAATTACACTAGTGTACATGCTGTAATCTGATAAATGCTTTTCAACTGTACAAAAAGACACAGTTCTTTTCAAAAACAAAAACAAAAAATAAGCAGCCAATTGCTAATTAGTGGACTAGAAGACATATTCTTCTGACCTTCTGTCAGATTAAATTTTCTAAACTGCTTGTACTGCATCCATTTTTCTGTGGCTCATAGTTCGGCTACTTAGCTTACTTTTTCTTTCACAGAAAATGGATTTGTTTTCTGTGTCACAGCATTTTTCTCTTTTTAGCACTAGCACATTATATTTTTTAAAAAAATGTTTATGTAATACTCCATTTACATCTTTAATATGCTTTGTTTATTCTAAAAACTAAGAGCTGAGCATGCACATTACCGATGCAGAAAGCATAGTAATGGAGCAGGCCTTTATTTGTCAGCTGAAATAATGTGTGCATTCAACCAATTTTTTCCTTTTAAATTAGAAATTAGAAAGTTAAATGTATATGCTAAAATCAGCTATAACAAAAAGAGGTGACTCTAGCGCACTAATCTCCATTTTGAACGCCCTAAATGTTCACATAAGACTTCTTAAAGTGCCTGCATTAGTTGGATACCTAAACCTTACCGAAATTTTTGTGGGACCTGGGTGTCTAGCTCTAGGATAATACTTTGAAACTCAGGAGTTTAGTATTAATTTAATTTCCAACTAGATCCTTGAGTTAGGCAAGTGATGGAGATACATTTTTTAAAAAAATCACCAGTGACCTGGAAAACTGCTGAATTTCATAGTGATCTTAGGTCAGACGTAGTATTGGTTATTTACCTAGCACAGTAATTCATGCCAAATCACCTGTCTTTAATAATATTTCAATGTAATTTCACAGTTTGCATTCTTGTATAATGTTAGAACTTTCCTGAATTCATCTTGAAATGTTTGGCTTTTTGATAGGTTCACACAAGCCCACAACAAATACCATATACCTTCATATACATACAGGAGATATGGAGATAAGATGTGGAAAGATCACTAATGTATAGACATGATTATATCAATCAATTTAAAATATTTTTATATAAAGCAATTAAAATAATACTAATATAGCGTGCAAAAAATGCAATGTAACAGTTCTTGGCCTTTTTACATTAAATGTAATAGAAAGGTGCAGTCCTTGATAATAAAACACTTGGCCCTATGAAGATAGAGAGGAAAATTCTTGTTAGGTTGCCGATGGTCTGATTCAGAAGTCATGGGACCCACACAAAGTCTGATTTTCAAAACCTAGTGGAAACTTTCCATTATCCCCAACAGACTTTGGGTCACTCTTAAAAGCATATGACTGCCTATAAATGCATTGTGCAGATGCCTGGCCCACAGGCTCTTCCCCATATCCTAAAAAATAAAAATACCTCTTCATATTAAGAATGCTAGAGCTTCAAGATATGTAAGAAACAAGAAAGTACTAGGTGATACCAAGAAACCTACTATTCTAGATGCATACACTAAGACATAAGAAAATCCACCATGTCATTATGAGATGTCCTGCAAGACATCTAATGGTCACGCAAAATGCCTTCCTATTGACAACAGAGTTTTCTGACAGAAAGCGTACACACTCACTGACAACATGCCCAACAGACATTTAAATATTGCAAGTATTGTCCTCTTCCAGGCACCCAAGCTTGTGTCCAGGGAATCACGCGGTGAAGGCAGTGGAGCTGGCAACTGTGATGAGGCTTTTGAATGAGTAGGGCCTCCAGCCCTGCACTCCATGATGGACTGAATCTTCCTCCTTTGTGCACTGCAGTACAGTGAAAAAAATGACAAAAAAAAAAAAAAAAAAAAAAAAGGGAAGGGAAAGGGAAAAGGAAAGGCCACCCAGTTAGGCCAAACATAAGGGAAAGGGAAAAGGAAAGGGAAAGTGAAAGGGAAAGCGAAAGGGAAGACACAAACAGTACGTCCCAACCAACTTTAATGGTTACAA